CAATTAAGAACAATCTATTTTGTTTTTTTTTTTTTTTAACTTTTTTTTTCCTAACAGACGAGTTATTTTATGACAATAATTATACTCCACCCTGTATAGACATTGGTGAAGCGAAGAGGAATTCTCGTATATCTTCGGCTCGCCGGAGGCAGCACTCAGCCTTCGGGATAAGTTCGTTAGAGTGCCCTGCTGTCTTCTGCTCCAAGACACTCCCGAAGGACGAGGAGGGTCCTTCGGTATTACCTTCACCTTGCTCTTCAGAGGCTTCCCGCCCCTTCAACTGTCTTCTAATTTCCAACGTTTCGACGATCGTTCAATTTTCACAATTTACGGAGCCGTTTAACCCCTATAGGTATTTCTCTTTTTTTCTTTTATTTGGCAAATGATGATTTAGCACCGCTGACGATTAATAGATTTGATTTTATGTGGTGTTCATTTCAGACGTGTAATCTTAAAATATTTTTTCACTGATCTGCAATAAGAAATGATAGATTCAGATATATTGATTGATATAAATGTACTTTTAAAAGTCTAATGAAAGTTGAATTATTTATTTTAAATTGTAATGGTTTTGGATTTGTGAAAGTGAATGTTGAGAGAAATTAACCTGCATTAGATTCGATATTAAAACGATTTTGAACTTGTAGAATAAGATACAAATCAGTTTGCTTTATATACTCAAGGTTGGCAATTCAGGACTCACAAGTAATTCGATACTCAACATCTTCAGAGTCGTGAAACTCGATATTAGTAATACAGGACTCATGAAATTGGATACTGTGGATATCGAACGTTGAGAATACGATAGAGAACATTGGAATTGTTTATAATATAGAATATAGGCCACGTTTAGAAAGTCAATTTTAAAATTAACAAAATTCTGGGAAGAATCAACAATTTCAGAAACAATGAAAAATTCCAAAAGAGATTCCATAAATCATCTACAATATTCTGAAATCAAAAACATATAGTGTCATTTAAAAAAGTTAATAATAAAAATGAAAAATGAAAATGATTATTAAAAAAACCATTTTCAAATACTTCTTATTTTCTTTTTATTACAATTTGTAACCGACAAAAAATTTTTATTTCAAACATTTTTTTTTCAGATTATTGGAAATACCTCATAGTGATATACTCTATATGCTTATTTTCTACCAATCTATTGAAACCAATTATTGGTCAAATCAATTTCCTATATATTTTTATCTTC